GGAATATTGTTGTAATAATAAAAGTTCTTTCTTTTCTTTTTATTAACCTGGCAGTGGTTAATGGTGTGCCCTGATTTTTATTTTAGGGGTGAGATTTCCCAAATGATCTTTCCCCTGGTTTCTTTATCAACATTTGAGTGGTGGCAGCGGAAGTTTTCTTCCCAAGATCTAGGTTTTTAAGATTTTGGGGAAATTTTATACCAAAGCCTGGTAGATAAGGCTTTGGGGTACACTTGCTGGCCCCCACTTCTGCATTTATCATGCCAGAGTGGGGAAGGAGCCATGACAGACTGGTCAAGGAACGTCACAAATTCTTATCAGTTACTCAACTATTCAATAGTCCCCGGGGGTGGGGCTGGCAGCCAGTGGGCTCTGGCCCCGTTCCTGGGGAGCCCCCTGCCACCCCCCACTGCTGCCTCTGATACAGAGACAATAGCGCAGGGTGGCAGCAGCCCCTGTCCGGGGGGAGTCTGGGCTCTCGGGCCTGGCACGAACCCGAACTGAGCCCGTGTGCCTGCCTTTCGCCTCCTAATACACTTTAATGCAGAGCTGCTGTGGGGGAAGGTCCCGGAGCCAGCAGAAGCTGGGACTGAGCCGGGCTGCTGGCCAGTTTGCTAACAAATGTCCTGGTGGAGGTGGGGGGAGGGAAATGTGCAGAGCATTGACCTGTAAGTGTTGGCTAATCAGTTAATCGACTTCACTATTATATCCCTAGTCCCAGCTGCCCCCAGCTCCGCCCCCTCACCCCACACAAATCCACAGACTGCTGCTCAAACTTTTCCTCCCTTTGTTTCCTGTGCACACCCCTGTCAGTTTCACTTTCCAGCAGTTACACAACAGCAGCATCCCTATAAATTGGAGTCAGCCCTGCCCCACCCCAGGAGTCTGGCAGGACGCAGAGCAGAGGAAGGAGTCCCAGAGGTTGCCAGAGAACCTCAGAGGTACCTTTGGCTTATTGTCCTCATTAAATGTGGCTGCAGTGTCTGACTGTAGAATGGGGAATAGTGACAGAGATGCAGCCGTGTTAGTCTGGTGTAGCTGAAACAAATACAGGACTATGTAGCACTTTAAAGACTAACAAGATGGTTTATTAGGTGATGGGCTTTCATGGGCCAGACCCACTTCCTCAGATCAAATAGTGGAAGAAAATTGGCAGAACCATATATACCAAAGGGATACAATCAAAAAAAAGTGAACACATTAAAATGACAAATCAGATATAAGAACAGAGGAGGGGTGAGGGGGGAAGGTTAGTGTCTGTGAGGTAATGACATTAGGGGTGGTAATTGGGAAAGCTATCTTTGTAATGGGTGAGATAATTAGCATCTTTGTTAAAACCCTTATATGAAGTGTCCAGCTAGCCCGAGCCATTTTTGCACCGTGGGCCCCACCTGGCCCGGCAGCATGGCGCAGCTCCCCTGAGGGGCCCGAGAACGGCCTCGCCCAGCACTGCGACACGGCTCCCCTGAGG